ACTTATCACAGGCACAGAATGAACAAGATCCATCTTGATGCCTACGTTCAAAAATAAAAATAATAGCAATAAAGTTATGTTGCAAGATGGTAAAAGAAAAATGTAGACATTCTGGTTTTTGAAAGTTCATTCTCCATGACATATTTCTCGGTTCTCAGCCTTACTCCTGTATTCTGTAGCATCTTGACTAGTGAAAAGATCTCGCTATTTTGAAAACCTGCCCACAGTTCTGTTCCTGAGTATGGATTTTTTGGATTTTTCTTATTGCTTACTTTGTTTGAAATATATACACAATATGTTTTCCTTCATTAGCTCTACAAAAATAGTGCAGTGTTTACAATAATGTCAAGTCATTTAATACAATTTAGAAGAGGGGTAAGGGACATTAGCAACTTATTTAAAAAGTATCCTTAGGCTTGTGGAATAGAAAATTCATACAGAATCTAAAGTATGTATAGAAGCTATATTGTGTATTGGGGTTTTTGAAGACTTTGTCTATGAGACAGGCTTCAATACTTTTCCTGTGATGGAGATGGAAATGACAGAGATGGAGACGGATGATAGACATAGACATAGACATAGGTTAACTGCAAAACTGTGTGGGATATATCTAATAATCTAGCTGGATGCAATCTTGTGTGCTTTCTTAGCCACTTCCCTGTATTGCATCACTAGCACTGAGTACTAATTTTCTAGAAATATCACCCACCTATGAAGTTTTATGATAATCAGGCCTGTCTGTAATGCAATTGGAAATGGTAATTGAAAGTGGTATTGTGCAAAATGTATTCCAATATTTCTCATCTCCTACTTGGGAGGCCTTGAAATGTGCATCTTTCAGTCACGATTGAAAGGCAAGGAAGGGGCAGGGGGCAGGTTGAATAAAATGCCTGTAAAGGCACTTCTTGTTTTGATCAGATTTTTGCTATTTATGTGGAATGGACTCATTTCTCTGTGGCACAGAAGTTTATTGCACAGCAGGAAAGAAGTGCTTTGGGATATTACCTGTTTCACAAACATCTCAGTATAATGAATGCTGCTACCTTCCCCCTACCTCTCCCCAACACATTCTCTCTCTCTCTCTCTCTCTCTCTCTCTCTCTCTCTCTCTCTCTCT